TTCGTCTGGTGCGACGCAGATGATGGCATAGTCGGGGCGCACGCCATTTCGAGCAAGAGGGAGAGCAGCTTTCTACAGTTTGAATACCCAGAGGCAGTGAGTAATGACGTAGTACATAAGATGAGACGCGCGAGGCGCTTACGAGCAGTAACGACGCCGTGCTATGCGCAGCGTGGCGCGGAAGAGTTTGGCTGGATGATGCCGAACGAGAGCTTCCCGTTGACGCGGAAGATGTTCCACAACGTCGGCGGGGAGTTCGGAGCCTTCGTCTACACCCTAAAGGGTGCGCGCGACACGGTGAGAGCGCTTCGCTTCCCTGTGATGGCAGCCTGACGGGCCTGCAGTGGTCTCGCTGCCGTGCCAGCCTCGGCGTGCCAGGCGGCCTGCGGGCGCGACAGCCTTGCTGCCGAGGGGCTCCGCGGCCGTCACGGCGCTCCCCGTCGCGATCGCGTGCTGCGGGGCACTGCTGGGCATCCCCGCCGGGCAGTTCTGGCCGAACCTCTCTCTCGTTGGCGCCCCCCGCGCCGGCCGCGCGCGCGCGGGGGCCGCGTGCAAAGCTCGTCAGCCGCACCGCCCCAGCGGGGGCAGCGGCATGGTCACACGCAGGCGCAGTAGCTCATCGGGCAAATCTCACCCGTCGTCTTGATGGCCGAGCTTGAGGAAGCAAACGCGCCGCGGACTGGTGCCTCTTTATGTACAGGCCCGGAGACGTCGTGCAAGGTATTGCAGCTGTACGTTTGCAGCGGCCCAGAGTTTCTTAATTTTTCGACAGGAGTGCTATTTATTTCGCGGCACAGAGGTGCCTGTAGACAGAGCTCGCACTGCCATGCCGATAGGCGCTGGGCTCGATGTCGTATCGTTCGCTGGTGGTTGGACAGCCTGTCGCGCAGATGTGCCAATGAAGGAGCAAAAACCTGATGTAGCCACGAACCCCGACCTTTGAGGACAAGGGGGCATGATTTGCGAGGAAGAGGAAAACAAAGAAGAAGATGTCTATAGGGTGCATAATGCTGATTCCCGTGCTGTCCGTTTGACACTGTGCCGCTTTAAGGCGCATTATGCTGGTTCCCGTGTTGTCCGTTTCACGCCGGACTACTTTGTCGGGGCGTCTCCGACCATCTTGGAGCCATGTTGGCAGCCTTCGGGCCCTGGGGCGTCTCCGACGACCATCTCGGGGCCGTCTTAAGCAGTCTTGGGGCCCTCTTGGGGGTCTCTGGGGGCTTCCTGGGGACCTCCTCTTGGAAGCTTCTTGGGGCCTCTTGGTGGCCTCTTGGGGCCTCCTGGCGCGTTTTTGAGCGGAGAACCCAAAATGCTGGTCCGTGCTCCCCCTCTGGGGCCCTTCTTGGGGCGTTCCTGGGGCTTTCTTAAGCCGTCTTGGAGGCCTCTTGGGCCGTCTTGGAGGCGTCTTGGGCCGTCTTGTGCGCTCTCTTGGGGGCGGTTCGTAGGCCGTGTTAGGGCGATTTTTAGGGCCTCTTGGGCCGTCTTGGAACGTCGGGAAACCGAAAAAGCGAAAACGCTAAAAACCTTGAAACACCCAAGGGAAATCAATGAATTCTGACTCTTGGGGCTCTTTTGGGGGGCCTCCTGGGGCGGCTTGGTAGCTTCTGGGCCTGTCAGGAAGCCATCTTGGACGGCCTGGATCGACCTGCTGGCGACTCGTGGCTCTCTTGGACCATCTTGCAGACCATCTTGGGGCCGCCCGTGCCCGCACGCAAGCGCGTCTGCCGAAATGGGGCCGGCTTCCGCCGGCATTCGCCGCGTGGTTGGGGCCATGTCCCAGGAGGTACCCCCCCAGACCCCCCCAGGGGAACACTGAACGGGAACCCCTCCGCAAGGTCAGGGAAAAAGAGCTGAGAAGATGATGGCTATGGGGCCTTCTTGTAGCCTCTTGGAAGGCTTTTGGGCCCTCCTGAGGGCCTCTTGGGGCCTCCTGGTGGTCTTTTTAGACGGAGAGCCCAAAATGTCGGTCCCGGCCCCCCCCTGTGGAGGCCTTCTTGGGGCGTTCCTGAGGCTTCGGAGGCCGCCTTGGAGGGCTCTTGGGCCGTTCTGACGTTCTGAAGCGTTTGCGTTTATCCCGGGGCTCTCTTGGGCAAGTGGGTGCGACTTGAAAGCAAGAGGACAGCAAAGAAACGGATGCCAAGAGGGCATCTGACGTTGGTTCCCGTGTTGTCCGTTTGACGCGGTGATGCTTTGTCGGGACGTCTCCAGCCATCTTGAGGCCCTCTGGGGCAGACTTGGAGCCCTCTTTAGAGCCTCTGAAAGCTTCCTGGAAGCCTCTCCGAGGCTTCTTGGGGGGCCTCTCGGAAGCTTCCTGGGGCGGCTCGGTGCCTTCCAGGGCCGTCAGGAAGTCGTCTTGGACAAGATGCGAGCGACGAAGTGCGGTCAGCACGGCACCATGTGAGCCAGTCGCAAAATGAGGGCCGTGCGAGGTGAGCCGATCACGCTTTTATGCAAGCCACCAGCGGACTGCAGATGGGCGTGGCTTGCAAGAAAGACACCATGTGAGCCACTTAAATGAAATAATGCCGTGTGCGGTGAGCTCAGCACGCCACCATGCGAGCCACCGGCTTTGCAAGGGCCGTGCGCGTGCAGGTGTGAAAAAAGGAAGCTTGGGTAACGTGCAGGGCTCCAGGGCCCCTCTGGGGCCAGCCTGAGGGCCTACTGGTCGTGCGTGAAAAGGTGTTGAGAGGGGGAAGTGCGCGAACAGAGCACGTGAACATGCGAGCCACGAAGTGAGCTCAGCACGGCACCGTGCGAGCCACCTGTAAAATGAGGGCCTTGTGAGGTGAGCTCAGCACGTGGCCATGCGAGCCACCGGGGGAGGAAAGATGGAGAGCAGGCGAACATACGAGTCACGAAGTGAGCTCAGCACGGCACCATGCGAGCCATTCGTCAAATGAAGGCCTTGCGAGGTGAGCTGAGCACGCGAGTATGCGAGCCACTGGTGGGGGACAGTGGCAGAGACGTGCGAGAAAGAGAACAGCAGAGAAGATGATGACTGTGGGGCTCATTGTGTTGGTTCCCGTGTTCCCCGATTTCACGCTATGAAGCATTTGTGGCAATATTGAAGCCCTCTTGGGCAAGGGGGCGTGACTTGAGAGCAAGCGAACAGCAAAGAAGAGCGTGCCTAGTGGGCACCTGGCGTTGGTTCGCGCGTTGTCCGTTTGGCGGTGTCACGCTCTGTGAGTGCGTCTCCACCTATCTTTGGACCTTCTTGGGCAGTCTTGGGCACCCCCTTGGGGGCCGGTGGGGGTTTCCCGAAGGCCGTTTCCAGGGTTCCTGGAGCCTCTTGGAAGCCTCTTGGGGGCCCTCCTGGGAGCCTCTTTGGTGCCTCCTGGGAGTTTTTTTGAGCGGAGAGCCTGAAATGTCCCTCTCTGGAGATTTTCTTGGGGGCTTCCTGAGGCTTTCGGAGGCCGTCTTGGAGACCCCTTGGGCCGTCTTGATGGCTTTTTGGATTGCCTGGGCGCTCTCTTGAGGGCCTCTGAGGCCGTCTTGGGGCGATATTTAAGACCTCGTGGGCTGTCTTGTAGCGTCAGGAAACCGAAAACGCAGGAGCCCGAAACACTTTCAAACGCCTAACAAAAACCAATGAATTTTGACTCTTGGGGCTCTCTTGGAACCTCTCGAAAGCTTCCCCGAGTCGTCCTGGGAGCTCCCTGGGCCGTCTGGACGCGATCTTGGGGGCCTCCTTGGGGCCTCTAGGGACCTCCTGGGTTTTTTGGGGGGCGGAGAGCCTAGATTGTCGGCCCCTGCCCCCACCCTGAAGGTCTTCTTGGAGCGTTCCTGGGGCGTTCGGAGGCCGCCTTGAAGGCATCTTGGGCCGTCTTGTGGGCGTATTGGACTGTTTGGGCGCTCTCTTGGGTGCCTCTTAGACCGTCTTGGGGCGATCTTTGGGACCTCTTGTGTTGTCTTGGAGCGTCGGGAAGCCGAGAACGCGGGAACCCGAAAAACCTTCAAAACCCGCCGAAAACAAATTAATATTGACATTTGGGGCTCTCTTAGATGACCTCTCGGAAGCCTCCCGAGGTGTCCTGGGAGCTCCCTGGGCCGTCTGGACGCGATCCTGGGGGCCTTCTGGGAGCCTCTCTTGGGCCTCCTGGGTGTTTTTTTGGGCGGAGAGCTTGAAATGTTGGTCCCTGCCACTCCTCTGGAGGTTTTCTTGGAGCGTTCCTGGGGCCTTCGGAGGCCGTCTTGGAGGCCTCTTGGGCCGTCTTGAGGGCGTCTTGGACTGTCTGGGCGCTGTCTTGGTGTTTTGGAGGCCTCTTAGGCCCACTTGGGACGATCTTTGGGACCTCTTGGGCTGTCTTGGAGCGTCGTGAAGCCGAGAACGCGGGAACCCAAAAAACCTTCAAAACCCACCGAAAACCAATACATGTTGACATCTGGGGCTCTCTGGGATGACCTCTCAGAAGCCTCCCGAGTCGTCCTGGGAGCTCCCTTAGCCGTCTGGACGCGATCTTGGACGGCCTGGATCGACCTGCTGGCGACTCTGGGTCCTCTTGGGCCACCCTACCGATCATCTTGGGGCCGCCCCTGCCGCACGGAAGCGCGCCTGCCGAACTGGGGCCGTCTTCCGCCGGCTTCCGCCCGCGTGCGCCCCGTGGCCAGGGGGGGGGGGGTCCCGGGGCTACCCCCCCCCAGACCCCCTCAGGGAAACACCAGACGGGAACCCTTCCGCAAAGTCGGGGAAAAAAAGAGGGCCCAGGAGCCCAAGACAACCCAAGAGGTGCCCAGTACAGTCGGGGCCCTGAAGAAGGAACCCTTTTGGTTGGGGAGGGGCTCCGCGTTCCTTAAGTGTTTCGCAGCTTGCCTCAGGTGTTCCTTTGGCTTCCGATGGGAAATCGAAGTTCAACTTATGGAAAAAAGGGGCCTCGTTCCTTACTGAGGGTTCCTTAGGTCAACGCCCCGACTGTATGGCCAGAGGTGCCGTAGCCATTTGTGGCTCAGGGGAGGCCTCCGCTGGCATTGTGTGACTGCTGGCCGGCCAGCACACCACTGGCATGCTCAGCCCGCGCGCGATGCCTCAAGGCGAAGAGGCAGCTCCCGTCGAGAATGGAATGGGCAAGGCAGCGCACCCAGAGTCGAGCGGGCTCAGCTCGGCCCGCACGCAGTGCTCAGCACCAGACCTGCTCCTGCTCGCCTTCGGCGACGACCAGGGCGCCGCCGCGCACGAGAAGCGCTGGGGCCCCACCGCACCGCCGAGGGATGGCAACGAGCCGGCGCCCTTCCACACGGCGCTCCGCGAGGCGGTGCCCCGTCGAGGGCCGGCGCCCGAGGGGGGGGGGGGCCTGCAGTGCCGGCGCCGGAGGTGGCCCCGCTCGGGCGCCTCGGGTCCGAGGCCTTCTGGGAGCAGAAGGCCGCCGCCGCCCGGCGGCCGACGTGCCCAGCCTTGGGAGCTGGGCTCGAGGCAGCGCCGCCCGTGCCTCGGCGATGAGAGCCTCGCGCCAACGGCACGACGTCAGTGGTGCCAGTGCGCGCGCCGCCGCCGCAAGTCTGCACGAGACGTGGTTCGCACCAGATGCGCGGTCCCGTGGGTACCTCTGACGCGGTGGGTGAAGTATGCTTCTGTCCTCGCGCAAGGAGGCGTGAGGCCCCTAGGTCGTCTCCAAGGTTGCTTGCTGGCTGCGCTTCTGCGAATCGCTTACAGCTCTCTGTTTGTAGCTAAGCCTCAAAGTGAGACGTTGCGCGCCAGCTGCCTTGATGCTGATATAGGGGATACGACGGGATCTCCAGATTCCGCCAGCCGCCCCAGTATCGGGAATGAGGAGTGCGACGATTGAGACCATGTAACCAGCGACTGGGCCCCTGGGCCTGCGGGCGGCCCATTCTCTTGAAACTCCCCCCCCCCCTGGGTAAATCATTTCGGCCTGGGGGCTTCAGAGCCGTTGCTGGAGCTTGCGGCCCTGCTTCGGCCTTCAGAGGCTCAGGAGGCTGCCAAGACGCACCAGGATAGCTCGAGGCGCTTGAAGATGACTCCAGGGCGCCCCCAAGAGACCACAAGATGCCCCGAAAGTGGCCAACATGAGTAAACCTGATACTGCCACGAACCCCGACCTTGGAGGACAAGTGGGCGTGACTTGCGAGGAAGAGAACAACAAAGAAGATAATGCCTATAGGGCGCATGATGCGCATTCCCGTGCTGTCCGTTTGACGTTGTGCCGCTTTAAAGCGTATCAGATTTATTCCCGTGTTGTCCGTTTGACGTTGTGCCACGTTGTTGGGGCGTCTCCGACCATCTTGGAGCCATGTTGGCAGTCTTTCGGGCCCTGGGGCGTCTCCAGGCATCTCTCGGGCCCCTCTTAGGCAGTCTTGGGGCCCCATTGGGGGCCCCTGGGGGCTTGCTGGGGACCTGTTCGAAGCTTCTTGAGGCCTTTTGGGAGCCTCTTGAGGCCTCCTGGGTGGTTTTCCGAGCGGAGAACCCAAAATGTCGGTCCCTGCCCCCCCGCTGGGGCCCTTCTCGGGGCGTTCCTAGGGCATTCTTGGGCCGTCTTGGAGGCCTCTTGGGCCGTCTTCGGGGCGTCTTGGGCCGTCTGGGCGCTCTCTTGGGGCCCTCTTAGGCCATTTGGGGGTGATCTTCGGGGCCTCTCGGGCCGTCTTGGAGCGTCTGGAAGCCGATACGGCGAAAACGCGAAAAAACTTTAAAAGTTTGATTAGGGAAAACAAATGAATGTTGACTCTTGGGGCTCTGTTGGGGGGCCTCTTCAAGGCCTCCTGGGGCGGCTTGGTAGCTTGCGCGCCCGTCGGGAAGTCATCCTGGACGGCCTGAATCGACCTGCTGACGACTCGTGGCTCCCTTGGACCATCTTGCGGACCATCTTGGGGCCGCCCATGCCGCACGGAAGCGCGTCTGCCGAAATGGGGCCGTCTTCCGCTGGCGTTGGCCGCGTGGCCTGGGCCATGTCCCGGGGCCAACATGTGCCAAAAAATTCAGTTGCTTAATGTTTTCATGTTCTCATGTGGTTTTCCTTCAGAGTGGAGGCTCCGGCGGGTCCCAACAGGGCCCAGGTAGTCCCAACACGGCCCTGGATAGCCCCTAGACGGCCAGAGAGGGCCCCCAAAGAGATCCAAGTTGCGTAAAGTTGGCATAAGAGGTCTTGAGAACCCTTCCAGACCCCCAACAAAAACCCATGGAATCTCCCAAGGAGCCCCGGAGAGGAGCCCAAGACAACCCTCAGACAGTCCAGGAAGGCATCCAAGAAAGCCCTAGATTTCAGACCGGCCCAGCTAATGCTTAACATCCACCCAGACCTACGCCAGAGAGTTCTGGGAACCCCCATGACAGCCACCCTTCTGTGAGACCTCCGAGGCTCCTTTGGACTATCTAGACTGGCCCTGGTTCTCTCCAAGACAGGCCAAGTACCCGCTAAGATGTCCCCCGCTCCAGCGCGGTTGGGTGCCCTCGGTTTCGAGGCGAGGCAGCGGTGGACAATGGCGTTGAGTTCCGAAGGCCCTTTTTTTTACCAGGCGTCCTGATTTCCTGCAAGTGTTCCATGCCAAGCTGCCAGCGCTTGAGCCCCACGTGCTGACAGAAGGCACCACCACGGGCGTGACGTTTTCGACAAGCTGGGCGTGCTCGTGCCAACTTGTGCGCGGTGCTATGTCTCGATGTGCTCGTGGGCCCTGCGCTCCCGACGCGGGGCCCGTGGGCGTCCGTTTTCGCTGCCGAGGCCAAAGCCTTCGCGCCTTCTTTTTGCGCGTGCCGCAAGAAGTCAGCGTGGCGCCCTGGCCAGCAGCCAGGGCGCGGATGTGTCGGCACCTCGTAGCGAAAAATAATAATAGTGATAAACGACAAAAAAATGTCCCCAGAGGATCCCAGAATCGATCCCAGGAGAACCCAGGATGGCCCAAGAGGCTTCCAGAGGGCCCGCTGACTTCTCCTCAGCACACCCACCAGGAGTCTTCGTAGTAACAAAGGCATGGGCTCCAAGCTCTGGTGCAAGAGAAGCCAGAACATGTGCTGGACCCTGGGCGTGTTCTCGGAGCTTCTTTTTGGTTCGCAGAGCGTTCGCACGTCTGGGCCTGGGCTAGGGTTCAAGGAAACGCGTCGTGTAGAGGTCCTAGCTCCCAGCAATGTGCAAACCACAAGAAGAAGGCTCGAGCAGGAACCCCAGACAGCCAAACTTGGCCGCGCAGGCACAACCCTTTATAACGTTCTTTGGTGTTTGGTTGATATCGGGATGGTTCATTTCTTGCTTCCAGATGGCTCCGACATGGCCTAGAAGGAGCCAAATAATTCAAAAAAACAACAAACAAAAAACAAAAAAAAAAAAAAAAAAAACGCACCAAGCGTGCCCCAAGAGCGCGCCAAGATTCCCAAGTTGCCCCAAGGAGCCCTCAGAGGGCCCCGGAGGAACCAATGACGCCTCCAAGATGGCCCGAGACGGCACCGCCACCACTCCAAGAGGTCTCAGGATCGTATCTCAACCAGGGGGCACGACAGTGCCGCAAGGATCCATCTCGAACGTTGACATCCCCGTATGTTGTTGTCAACCAGCCTGCAGTGCACCAGAAGGAGTGTGCAACGTGCCTCTTGCCCTGCAGGATTGCCTTCGATGCCCCGCGGTCCCTCCACCGACCGCGGCAGCGGTCTGCGAATCTGGCTCCCGCGAAGCAAGCTCGAGCGATAAAACCAGCGATCTCCAGTTGTTTACGGATGAGACCGACGCCCCACGGTCATTCTTCGGTCGCCAGAGGCCGCAGTGGTGGATTATGCTGTTTGTCGTGCTTGCTTCACTTGCTCAGTGCACGGGTTGATTTAATTTGCCGCCCTCTTGGATTCGTATAGAAACGCACACTGATTCATTCCGGTGCTCGATCTTGCAGTTTTGTGCATTCCCATCGTTACCCATGCAATTGATCAGAGGGCGAGGTGCATGATGATATTTCGGCATGCGTAAGAGTGTAGACTTGCGCGTGAATCGAAAAATGGCTCAGGATCGCTTCAAGAGGACCCTAGGAGAGTTTCAGGTGAGGATCGGGGCGGAGTCACCGAGACTGCCCCTGCGCGAGCCCGGCAGCATAACGAAAACGTGCCGAGGCTGCTCCGTGGAGTGCGCCGTGCTGGCAGAGGCGCCAAGGAGGGCAAGGGCAGCGGGATGCTGGCATACCTGGAGGCGGGAGCTGCCTCCTCTGCTGGGTGCTCCAATGCCCACCACCACAGCCGACCATCTGGCCAGAACCGCAAGAAGAGTTGAGTAGCCTTGCCCTTCTCAGCATGCACGCGAGCTCCAGGCCTTCCAATTGGAGGGGAGCGGATGGGGTCGGAGGATCGCGCCGCATCTCCAACGCATCGACGATGCATCGGCGACGGCGGGATGGAGAAGAGAAGGCTCCAGGTCGCGCCGCATCGTCGATGCATGGGCGATTCCACCGAACCCATATTCTGCTCTGGCTCACTCTGACAGGCCTCCAGAGCTCATGCTCCAACCTCGCCTCATCCTTTGTTCCTCCCTCCAATCACATCTACCCACATCCCCGTGACCATCCACATCCCACCTTCCGTCCACATTCTACACTGCACGGCCGTTCGGCGTTCACAGTGCTTCCCTGTTTCACGTCAAGTGTCTGCGTGTGGGGGGCCCTGCCGTCGCAGGCGGATATATTTCCACGGTACCGAAAGGTGTCAGTAGTTGCCGCGATTGTTTGCGCAATTGGGGAGGGTAAGTCGGCGTCGTGTTTTTGTCAACAAGTCCCGTGAAGTTCCCCTTCCCGTCATCGAGGACAAAACAACCCCTGACCCTAATAACGCAGTGAAGACGTTGCCTCACTCAGGTCCCCGCCTCCGCACTAGGGCTAATAATTCTGAGCGGTGTGGTTTCGTACACCTGCAGAACCGACCTTGTATCCCCAATGTGTTGGCCCTCCTAACTAACTCAGGTCGCTTCCCAAAGGGGTTAGGGGTCCTTCTACTGCGAATCATCCCGCGCTCGTGATCTGCCGATTTCTCGGCCGCGCTCGAGGCCTTTGGCTGCTGCGGCCCCGATGGGCTGGTGCCCGCGGGAGGGGCTGCCCTGTCGATCAGCGTGGCGGGCCACCAGGCGCGGGGGAGCGCTGAGATGAGATGATGATTGGCTTGAGGAGGCGGAGGAGGAGCAGGAGCAGGAGGAGGAGGAGGAGGAGGAGGAGGGGGGGAGGAGCGAGGGACGAGGGACGAGAGGGGAGAGAGGGGAAAGAGGGGAGAGAAGAGGGAGGAGGGGGAACGAGGAAAAGGATGCGGAATCTCTGATTTATAATGAATGAATGTCACGGGGAGGGCGCCTTTCTACGCATGAACAGCTGGAGTTCACGAAGCGTTTGGTGGATCTCCTGAACCGCAAACACCGAATTGTTGTAATCCCAGCCCTGTGGAGGTACGTCGTCTTCGCCATAGATTGTACTCTTCGCCACCGAAGCAACGCTCTCGCGTTCCATGAGGCAACCGACAGCTCCTCGTGCTTTGGGTGCCCTCCCGCTCTGTACAGCCTTCAAAAAGATGTCGTCGCAAGCGCTAAAGAGACCATCCTGGAGCCGCGCTGGACTCAAGGATGCGCTCAAAACAGCGCCGCCCATCGGCGCGGGTCCACCCGCGCGACGTGAGAGCAGCCTCATGCCAGTAGCACAAGATAGGATCACCACCAGCCTGAGGCCCCAAACGAAGTATCGGATTACAGTTCTCCGTGATCCAGCCGTGCTGACGATCGAAGAATATTTAAACATCCGCAGGTTGTTGCCGAAGAGTTGCCACCAATGTTTCCCAACCCTCCTTTTCTGGGTTCTCGTTTTGAATCAAGCGTTGTGGTATCCACTCCTTCTCTTTCTCCCCTCCCCCCCTCATCGCTTCTCTTGCCTCCTCCTGCGCTGCTCCCTGGGAGGCTGCAAACTGCGCCATTGCTGCCACTTTCCTGGGCTCACGGGAGGCACGGCGGAGTCGGGGAGGAAACACATCACTTGAGAGCTAGCAGCTCCCTGGGTGGCTGCGAACTGTGGATCTGTCGCCACTTTCGCGGGCTCTTGGGGGTCACGGCGGAGTCGGGGAGAAAACACATGATTTGAGACCTCGCAGCTTCCTGGGTGGCTGCGAACTGTGCAATTGTCGCCCCTTCCGTGGGCTCCTGGGGGGCACGGAGGAGCCGGGGAGTAAGCGGACCAGTTGAAACCTCGCAGCTCCTTGGGTGGCTGCGAACTGTGCAATTGTCGCCCCTTTCGTGGGCTCCTGGGAGGCACGGAGGAGCCAGGGAGTAAACGGATCATTGGAGACATTGTTGCTCTTTGGGTGGCTGCGAGTTGTGCAATTGTCGTCTCTTTCGTGGGCTTCTGGGTGGCACGGCGGAGTCCAGCGTAAACAGATCATTTGAAACCGCGTTGCTCCTTGGGCGGTTGCGAATTATGCAACTGTTGTCACTTGCGTGGGCTCCTGGGAGGGGCAGCGGAACCAGAGAGTAAACGGATCCTTTGAGACCTCGTTGTTCCTCGGGTGGTTGCGATCTCAGCAATTGTCACTACTTCCGTGGGCTTCTAGGAGGCACGGCGTAGTCGAGGAGTAAACAGATCATTTGATACATCGCAACTCCTTGTGTTGCGGCGACTTACGTGGGCTGCTGGGAGGCACGGCGGGGTTGGGGAGTAAACGGACCATTGCAGACTTCGCAGCTACCTGGGTGGCTGCGAACTGTATAACTTGCGCCTCTTTCGTGGGCTCGTGGGAGTCACGGCGGAGTCGGGGAGTAAACGGACCAGTTGAAACATCCCAGCTCCCTGGGTGGCTGCGAACTGTGCAATTGTCGCCACTTTCGTGGGCTCCTGGGGGGCACGGCGAAGTCGGGGAGTAAACGGACCAGTTGAAACCTCGCAGCTTTTTGGGTGGCTGCGAACTGCGCAACTGTCGCCACTTTCGTGGGCTCCTGGGAAATCCAGCGGAGTCAGGGGCCACGCGGATCCCCTCCGAGACTTCGCGGCGAAGTGCGCAATTGGCGCCATTTTCGTAGGCTCGTGGGAAGCACGGCGGGGATGAGGCCAGCGCAGATCGTGCATATCTGGCGATGTGTTCTTTTGTATGGAGCGTTCCATGCACATGTTTGCTTGGCGTTGAGAAGGGGTTGGGCACGTCTCGGGTAAGTTTGCCGGCGATGTCTTATTTGATCAGGAACGGACTTTTCCCTGGGGCCCACCAGAGGCAGCAGGCAAAGGAAAGCGCGCCCACTGACCTTTACCAGGGAGACGAAGAGCACCAAGCGCTGTTCCTGTTCCACCGTGAAGATGCGGTCGAGATCCCGTCAGTCTTCGCATCCTTGAGCCATTTGTCAACCTACGAGGCCACATCACACTTCTCGACGATCGCGGGCGCCACAATCTTGAGAATTTCGCTGTCAACCTCGGGCTGGAAGCCAGCACTGGGCGGCTTAGGAGGAGGCGGTGCTCGATGTGCAAGTGCCAAGTCATGCCGCAGTTCGTCCATGGAATATCGCATCTCTGCCATTTCAGCTGTAAGTTTGCCGGCAAGTCCATCGATAGCTTCCACTTTGGCGGAGAGGGTGTCGAGCCGAGCTTGACACCGTCTCTTGAGCGCGTCGATTTCTGGCTTGAACGAAGCTTCCACCTGCGCTTTGTTTGCATGTGCCAGGAGCTGCGTGGACGGCATTCTCGAGCGCACTGGTCGCCGCCATGACAGGGTCGATGGCACGTCCAGCCGTCGTGCTTGCATCGGCTGAGATCATCTCTGCGAGCTCCGACCTGAGTAGCTTGAACTCAGCCCCTAGCTTTTCACCTATGAGACCCTTGATGTGTACGTCCCATCCAGCTGGGCCCATGTCTTCCTCAGCGTCACAGTTGGCGCGGCTGGGGCGAGACCTGCCCCCCCCCCCCCCCCCGAGCATCAGGAGCAGCGGGCCGAGAGCCACCACGAGCATGAGCACAAGAGCGGCCAGCAACCCCTAGCTTCTCCTTGGCCTCCCTGTTCCCGGCCCCGTTCGCAGGCACGAGCACGGACAGCCTGAGAAGAGCGGGACGCTCCACCGCTTACCCACCAGACCGTCTGTGGGAGGCGGAGCCTGCTCCAACGGGAGCTCACAGGAAGTTGAAGGTTGGCCGCGGACTAGCAGCATCCATTCTGCTTCCGCGGAAGCGGCCATCTTGAGACAAGATGGTTACGAAGGGCGGAGTGGCTGGAGGGGAGCTGTCTTCGACGCGCTGCGGCGTCAGAGCGCAAAGTCCTCAGGGAGCCTCCGCAGGGAACACCCCAGGCGCAGGTTCGCAGTGCTTGGCCGATGAGAGTTCCACGTCTGCCCACTGGGGTGGGCACCGCGGGCTCGCGGTCGCCACATGCCCAACGTGACTCCGGTCCGTGCGAGGCCCCGCCTTCGACTGCAGGCAGATTGGCGGACTTCGGGATCATGCAACTGGGCATCAGCTCGGGCACGCCACCACAGCGTCTCCCTTCGCACGAGCTGCGGCGACGAGCGCCTGCTGGTCAGATCTCTGGCTGTACGCGGAACTGGCCCCCCGCGCTGTACGTCAACCAGGAGGGTAGTGATTTCCCAGGATGGATGGATTGGTGTGTCTCTTACGTTGCTGACGTTCTACGATATGCGAGGTTCGAGCCACTCCTCGCCACATCACCGAGAGGTGTTAATGCGGCGCGTACCAGCAGCTCAAGCAGGTGGAACTTGGCGTTCGAGCTATGTCTGACAGGTTGGTACTCATTGGCCATATCACGCGAGCAACTTCGATGGCACCCTGACCCGCCTTGGCCGATTCATGATGCCAGTCGGCTGCTTGTTCTGCGTCGACGTGGGCTCGAACACCCCCGCCAGCACGGTTGGAGTGCCGATATCTCTCGCGTGCGCCCCACTGAGCAGGACAACATCTTGGGCACACGGAGGGTGGCCAGCCTGGCAGCATCGATGGGGCCCCAGCCCAGCATCCAACTGCAACTGGTGCTCCTCCGTGGCGCTGAGCAGCGTGTGAGTCCAAGTGGGGAGGAGGAGGAGGAGGAGGAGGAGGAGGAGGAGGAGGAGGAGGATGAGGGAGGAGGGGGAGGAGGGAGGAGGGGGAGGAGGAGGAGGAGGAGGAGAAGGAGGAAGGAGGAGGAGGAGGAGGAGGGGAGGAGGAGGAGGAGGAGGGAGGAGGAGGGAGGAGGGGGGAGAGAGAGGAGGGAGGAGAGGGGGAGAGAGGGAGGGGGGGGGGGGGGCGCCTCTCCCAGGGACGGAGGGGGGGCCCAGCCCCCCTGATGGAGCAGAGGGCAGTGTGGACCTTTTGATGGACATCCCATCCCCTCGGCGGATGACGTCGCGAGCATGGAGCTGAGGTCTGCATCTGGCAGGCAGCGAGACACGGGTTCGCAACGTGGCAGGGGGGCACCTCTCGAAGACGAAGTCATGGGCGATTCGGAATCTGCGCACCGTTTCGGCCCCGTCCTGGACGGGGAGGAGTACGTTGCGCATGCGCGGGTTGCTCTTGACCGCTCGCGCGCAGAGGCAGATGACATTCAGCCTGGTCCTACTGCTGCGGCTTCTGGTCTGGCTCCGTCTGCGACTGTGGACTCTGCTGATGGTGAGGACGAGGCGAACGATAGCGAGGAGGAGGACAAGTGCTTCGACCAGGCATTGACACGGCATGGCTCCGGAGTGGTCTATCCTGACGGCTCGGTCGGTGGAGCGGCCATCCAAATTGTGGGCGGTGGTGTTATTGTGCTTCGGCTGGCGATCCGACGGTGGCGGGGGCTCCCCCTGCGGCCCTGCATGCTGCTCTTTCCCCACGGGTCTGTTGGGGCAGCTATTCCTGGTTGTGCGAGTGGTTCTTCGTTGTCTCCTATGCCACTTCGAGGTACGACGGAGTTTTGGGGCGTTCCCCGCGACCTCTCCTAATGTCGACGCAGCGCCCGTTCCCGACGAGAGCAGCGACATGGAAGTCGGGTTCCTGGGTACCCCCGACGGCAGACCCTCGTGGCCGACTCGGTGCTGACAGCGCTGCCTCCCCTGCTCTCGCAGCCGTTGCCTGATGCGTCGGGGGGCGAAACCGTCGAGCCGTCGTCTGCCGACCAGTTCCACATGTGCATGCAGACGGTGGTGGCTGGTGATGGTGCTGCCGAAGCTCTGCTGGACGCGAGGGTCATACATGCCGAGCTCCTTCGTCAAGTGACGAGGTATTGCAGCCTCATGCAGGCGGCCGACGAGGAGGAAGAGGCGGACGACGCCTTCTTGCAGTTCATGGCTGGCGGTGGTGGTCTAGCTGCCGACGGCCTGGACCATCCTGCTCTCCAGGATCATGAGGATTTCCCGCAGCCTGCGGGACTTGGCACTTGTCCACCATCGGCGGTGAAGAACGTGGACACCGACGGAGACATAGACGTCGTCGACGGCTGCGCCGTCGCCGTTACCGAGCTCGCGGGCGACGGCCTGCGCGACGACATCACCAACGGGGAGCAGGTCGGGGTCGAGGACTCGCCCCTGCCAGGTTCCGCGGGGGGCGCTGGCAGCGCGCACAGTGCGTCCTAGGCGAGCCGACGCTTGACCTAGCTCCGAGGCGCGGGCTCCTCCTCATCCTCATCTTCCTCCTCTTCCTCCTCCTCCTCCTCATCATCAGCATCAGCATCAGCATCAGCATCAGCATCAGCATCATCATCATCATCATCATCATCATCATCATCAGAATCAGCATCAGCATCATCATCATCAGCATCAGCAGCATCATCATCAGCAGCATCATCATCATCGACATCATCGACATCATCATCATTATCATCATCAGCATCATCATCAGCAGCATCATCATCATCATCCTGGTCCACATCCTCCTCCTCCTCCTCCTCCTCCTCCTCATCCTCCTCATCCTCCTCCTCCTCCTCCTCCTCCTCCTCCTCCTCCTCTTTCTCCTCCTCTTCATCCTTCTCTTCCTCCTCATCTTCCTCCTCCTCGTCCTCCTCCTCCTCCTCCCCCTTTGATCCCTCGAGGGGATGAGCCCGCCAGGAGCTGGAGGGCCACACCTTCTACCAGCTCCACTGCCTGCTCGTGGCAGACGGCTTCGAGCCGCTGAGGCAGCGTGGGGCGAGGCAGAAGTTTCCAGCGCAAGACGCCGCTTGGCTGAACCCCCAGGCGCTCCGAGAACGGCGACAGCTGAGTTCATCATGACGAGAAGAAGTCCTGGAGGAAAGGGGTTCCGGATCTGGGGGCTTTCGCTGGGCAAGGAGCGCTCGGACTCAGCGAACTCGCGTTCCAAGTCCGTCTGGCTCACGATCACATAGGTATTCTGGGAGGTGGGTCGCGGCGGCTCGTTGAAACGGAGCACCGGGTCCTCAATAGACCAACGGGGGCAGTCCTGGGACTTGCCGCCGTTGTCGTCGCCGCCGCCGCTGGGATGGAAGCGGCAACGGGGAGGTAAAGCGCAGGATGGAGTTCAATGGAACAGTAGAGTTCAGGTCCCTTTGCGATGCGGAAGGGCTCGGTGGGTCTTTTTGTGTTCACCGTCCCCCTGTTCTTGGGGGAGAGGGCTCATCAGGCATTTCCATGCGTTCGGGGAGAAGGTCCTCCCCCAACCACAGGGAAATTGATCCGCCGCCCCTGGATACTTGAAGAGACAGCATTTGAGAAGGAGAACAGCAAAATGCTGAGCTTTCATTGTCGGGCGAGGCGTCCCCGTCCTCCTCCGACACAGGATCCTCTCAACACAGGGGCTCGGACCCCTGACTAGGTTCGAGTCACCCGGGTCGGCGGTTCACCCCAGACCGACTCCTGACGGCCCCCGGGCGTCTGATGAGTCCTTCTCCCTTGTTTCAAAAGCCCCCCCACCCCACCCACCTGCTCGGATCGCGTTTCGGGCCTCCTCCTCCTCCTCATCCTCATCCTCATCCTCATCCTCATCCTCATCATCCTCCTCCTCCAAATCCTCTCCTCCTCCTCCTCCTCCTCCTCCTCCTCCTCCTCCTCCTCCTCCTCCTCCTCCTCCTCCTCCGGTCGTTGCCCCTCCGCCGTGGTTCTCCCCTGGCCATCGCGCCGCTCGTCTCCTCGGACCCTCGCCGCGTCCAGCGGCAGCGGTCCCGAGAGGCCGCGGCCCCTCGCGCCACCTCGGGGGGGTAAACGGCAGGGTGGGATACAGCGAAGACCCATGCCAAGAAACACCCCGCTTGCCTCCAGGGCTTCCTGCCCTAGTTCTGCCCTAGTTCTGCGGCTTTCTCCCTCCTCTCCCTCCTTCTCCTGCTTTTCTCGTCCCTTCCCCTTCTCTCCTTCCCGGCGTTTGCGCGAATGCGCCGCCAGCGCGCACAATTTTTGAAGTCCTCGCGATAGCACCGGTGCAATCCGGCCGAGGCCCCGGGCTACAGCCAGGCTGTCCCAGCGTTCGTTGTGGTTTGGCTCGTTGCCCCGTGCATCCGCCTCCAGGGTGGCCTGGGCTTCTTGGATTTCGATGGTCTTGCCGTGGAAGGCGAGACGCTACCACACCAGAAATGCATGGACGTCCTGGCGTCTCGGGGTTGGGTTTCTTGTGGACCAGCCTCCACCGTATAGCAAAGGGCGGGGCAGAGAATCGACTCACGCAGCTGGTTTCCCCGGCGCCCCCCCTGGTGTCGGAAGGCGCCCAGGTGTGGAGGATTGGGTCCCGGCGGCGAGGCGGAAACCAGCTGCATGCAGCAGATGCCCCCTGAGATCCAGCTTTGCCAAAGATTTGCAACATCGCAAAAATTCACGACTGGACCCCCGGTCCCCAACTTTCTGCGTCATTTTTCGGGCCGGATCGATTTGGAAGGGTCCCGGGGCCCGATATGGAACGAAAACGCCCGGCTCGAAAAAAATGAGTCGCCAGGATCTCAGGGTCGTACCCCCCCCTTTCCCCCTTCCTGCCCCTTCGTCTGGCCCGAACCACCCAGCCCAAAGATATCGCCGGGAGGGCCGCCTCTGCGCGGGCGGCCGTCTCAGCACCCCCGGCCGCCGCGGGGGCATCCCCCCCCCTCCCCCCCCGACCTCTCGGGGAGTGCCACAGGGGGGGGGGGTCGCCAAGAGTTCCTCCTGAGGCTCGAGGCTCCAGGATGAAAGCTCGAGGAGGCTCTGGAGGGCGTCGGGGGTCGTCGCAGTGGGCTCTCTGGAGCGTTCTGGGGGGGGGGGCCACTTCCGCCGGGAAGCGGCGCTTCCCCGGGGAAGCGGCGAACCCCCCCCTCCCAGTGGAGGCCCTCCTTGGCGTTGCCTGGCGCCCCTCGGGGATGCGAGGCGGGCCCCCTCCCCCTC